TCCATTGCAATGGCAACAATTGTTGTTGCAGCACTTGTGTAGTTGTTTCCCATTTCTCCCCTAGAGCGCATGTATTCCCTATAAATTTTTTACGATTTTATGCAATTGTATAGTTTGCAAAAGTTTGTTGCAGCTATTTTTCGGTGCCGCCGTCGTGGTATTGTTTTTAACAAAACAAAAACAACGACGACCACTACAATGCACCAGTCGACCCGGGCCGAAAGGGACACGCCCATTGCTGGCCCCCTAGCCCCCCCAGTAACCATTGCCTGCCACAAACGCGCCGAACAAATGAACTCGAATGTCCTTTATATGCGTTCAGTGTTTATTGTGCCATTTTCTATGCTTCTCTGTCCTAGACTCGCTGCGCTAGAAAACTTGGCAACAATTTGTTGTAGCCGCTGCTTTTACTGGTATGCCTCCGTTGTTTGCTGGCCAAAAAAATAACAGGAAAAAAACTAAAAATGCATCTTCAAGGCCCCTCTGCGGACACCGAGCAACATCGATCCATTCCGCAAAAGCTTTAGGATTAAGTTCTACATAATTCAAGACACTTCTTCAAGGCAGAAAAGAATGCTGAATGAATCTGGACTTTAATGGTATCCAAGTCTTTTAGATGAGTCGAGCTGTGGCTGAAAATTCTATATTTTTGACAAGGTTTTTAATTTAACGAATAATATTTACAATAAAAGCTTGCAGAGGAGAGTATGATAATTGAATTAAAAGATATAAACCACCGAAAGGAAGTCGCTTTAAGGGCTATAATAAGTTTGAAATCCATTTATTCATATTCCATTAAAACTACCCATGAATAACCTTAACCCTTTATCTGGGTATCTCAGATAAAATCAATAAACTTAATGGCGACTTTAATTATCTGTTAAATCTTCAGGACTCCCAATAAATATCCTTCAAATGGTAGGAATATAGTCAATGGGTTAAGATCCTACTTGTATAAACTGCATTATATTGTTTGTTTCCATTTCTATTTCTTCGATAAGTAATATCGTTTCGTATAGAATCGTATAGTATAACCAAGTTATTGCTGCCATTAAAAACCCGCTTAAACTAGTTTACTTCCTAAATGGATTTCCCAAGAAAAGCTTTTCCATTAAAATGCATTGTTAAAAACATACCTTAACACCCCTCCCTATATATTTTTTTTAAATATCTTCTCTTTTCAGTCTCATCCATCAATTGAATATTTTCCTGTTCGGCTTGGAGTACATGCATGTCTGCGGATGCCTGTTTCTTTTTCATTTTTTGTTTTTGGTGTTGTATGTTGCTGTTGTATATAGGCTTTATTAAGCAACTGCAACGCGTCCGCTGTGGCATTATATTGGCAATGCAATCTACCCGCCTGCTTCCCATTCAGTTGTACCGGCTTCCTTCCATAGACAAATATTGCACACAGCCAGATGCCCTGTGGCGAACCTTCTGCACTTTCCCCATGCACGGGCACGTATTTTTTAACGCCGCTTTCAACGATCCGTGGAGCCAGGAGCCAGGACCTCCATACATGAAGGAGGGTGTAGTATAGTATAGTGTGGTGTCCTGTGTGTGTGTGTGTTTCACCCCTTTGGCAGGCCCCTCTTTACACAGCATGAAAATGTCGCGGCTTTTGCTTTCGTCTGCTCTTATTTCTACTGATTTTTTATTATAGTGCTTTTTGTGTGTGTTGTTATTTTCACAGTAGTCCAGCTCCAGCTCCTGCTCCTGGTCCAGCTCCTGCTCCTGCTCCTGCTCCTGCTCCTGCTCCAGCTCCTGCTCCTGCTCTTGCTCCGTGGCCGATGGCGAACCCGTTCGGCTTATATTGAAAAATTTGAATGCTAGTAAAAAGTTTTAATTGTCGCCGCCACGGCTGTCACATGTTGGCCTGTATGGCTGGGGTCATTTAAAAACGCCGCCGCTGCCCGTTATTGTTAACAATATTTTTCAATACAATTTTCGCTTGATTAAAATATGCAATGCACTTGTTTTCCACCGGGGATATCCTACGGAGTAATACTTGGTCCCTTCTTCGCTGGCTTAAATTCGCTTAATGGTAACTGGAGTTTATTTGCTTGCAGGGCGCGAGCTCTTAAATAAATTTATATTCTTATATTTTTCAAATAAATCAGCAAGTCTTATTGCCTCAATAAGTTTTCGCCATTCTGCTCCAGTTTCATGTTTCCAAAATATCTCGCGCCCTTTTCGTTTACTTTGTGCATTTATAATTTACACTCCCCCGTCACCCCCGACTTGTTTTTCTTGTTGTTTATCTCTCCCGGCTTGAAAAGTTCGAACTGGCTAAAAGTTTTTAATGAGCAACGACGTTGGACGTCATCGTCTTAGCCTTCCTCCCCCTCCCCCCTCCATCAGCGAATTGCACGCAAAATTTTCTAGCTAAAATTTGTTGTGCATTGCAGCGAAATGTCGGAGTGAAATCGTGACAGCGAGTTGGGTGGCTTAAAGCGCGGCGGCACCAAACAATTATCAAAAGCTTTAAGTTTGTCAAAGAAATTGTATATATATTTTAATCAGAAGCTTATCCAATTATTTTTGTAGCCAGTGACTTTGAAAAGCGTGATCAAGTGAAGTGACACAAAGGATATCGCAGTCCTAGCTAATAGAAAAAACATAGTTGAAGTCACAAAGTTGTGATGTGAAATTAGGAGAGAATTTTAAACTTATTAAGAGCTAAGGTATTTGAATATTAAGAATAAGTTCAGAAATATCCTTAATGTGGTAAATAACAGAAATACATAAACTTTAAAGAAATGTATATTAAAAATATAATAGAACATTACATATAAAAAGCTAATTTTGAGAATCCTAAATTTCCTTACCATTGCACTAAAAATCAATTATAACTATGCCAAAAATGCATTAATTTGTAATCTAAAAATTGTTCTATAATAGTTTTTATAGTTTAACATAACTGTATAATAAAATTCAAGTTTGAAGTATTAAGTTTACAAGTTTCTGACTAAAATTATAATCCATTCTTTAAGCCGATAATCATCTATATTGTAATAATAATAATTTTTCCCACAAATCAAAGCCTAAAAAACTCATAACTAAGTAAAAAATTCATTAATTTTCAATCGGAAAAGGTTTATATGCTGGTTGTTATTAGGTTAACAAATCTGCATAAAAAGTTTAAAAATTTTAACGATGTAACCCTTTTAAAATTTTCAAAAAAAAATAATTTTTGTCAGATATAGGTAGATCTACTCTGCTGTTGATGCTCATCAAGAATATATATGATTTATAGGGTCGGAAATGACTTCTTCAATGCGTTGCATGTTTTTCACTGAAATTATAATATTCTGGAAGGGTGTAAAATAATGTATAGTTTTGAGAAGAAATATAGCAAATATTTTTGACAATGCATAAGAAAACATCAAAAAAATATTGCTATATAAATATATAAAGTGATGGTGCATTGTTTACATTCTGTTTATAGACTTGCTATCTCGAAATTTAAAAATTAAAAGACAAGTAGTTAAAATTTTGGGATTGACTGTAGCATAAATTAGTATTAAAATCCCAAATGTTAATTAACTTTTAGATATCATATATCATACAGCGATTCCACTTTCTATCTTTTTACAGACAGCGCAGACTAGACACAGTTTCTATTAACTACGAATGTGGGCAATGCACTACTGCATCTTTTAGGGCGCGCATCCTTTTTGGCCTTATGTGCGAACTGCATTTGGTTTTAACTGCAGGTCAAGTGGCCGCCAAAGCAATGGCAAAAAACCGCAATCCAAGCACATGGCCTAAACAAACCTCTCCGCTCGCTGCTCGGCGGCTGCTCTTTTGCTGTTTAGCAGTTTAGCACACTCAGTGCTGCGCATGCGCAGAGAGCAAGGGGTGGTGTGGCGAAACCTTTGGGGCAGGGAGACAAGTATTACTGCACTTTTGGGCCCAAACCACCAGGTGCTGAGCCGCGTATTTGGTCGTCGTTTCGCTGAAAGTTACGGAATTTGTCCAAGTTGATGGCGACGGCGTCTTGCTCGGTGGAAGCATGCAAATCTGTCAACAAATTGGCGGCGATTAGGCGCCAACTGTTCGCTCCCAGACAGTGGGACAGTGGCACTCCCACGGTGGCAGGTGGCCTGGGCACCAGCCCTGGGCTGGTGGGAGAGCATGTCAAAAGCCAGACGGCCAGTTTGTCGGTCAACAATTTAGACATAATTTGAAAGCGTTGCTCCGTTCCACACGCAATGCGTCGACCTCGACATAAGCGTCGCTTACGCAATGGCCCCACATCCAAATTATGCATAATGGGGCAGAGTGGGTAGAGGGGGTGGTGGGGGTTCGAGTGGGTCCCAGGTAAGCCGCGACGCGTCCCCCATAAATTGGCATTAGTTTTTGGGCACGATGGGCATTTTTGTGTGCAGTGTCGCCGATGGCAGCCATCGGCAGCCTAATAACTTTTACGCGTGTTTGCATGTCACTCCTGCAGCGAAATTTGATGGGAAAATTCGTATGAAAAATTCTGGAAAAAAAATTCTGGTGGTTTAAAAAGTGGATGAGTTAGGTTCAGGTAAAGAGATTGCAAGCGGGAAATCCGATTAAAAATTATATACCCATCGGCAGAACCGATCGCTTTGATCACAAACAGTCCAAAACCCACACTGGAGATTTATCCCTCCTAGTTCTTACATCTCCCGGGGCTGAGTATAAAAATTGTCGTGTATTCCGCATTATTCAGATTACACTTTGGATGTTATTTATCAACCGCCGCACCACACACACAGAGCCACCAAGTTATGATGAAGTGCAAAGTATGATGCTGTCATATGTAAACCAACGTTCGCTGTGATGGTTGCCTATTATAGGCTATTTATTTAACCAGCCCCCGGGATTTGTGGTGCTCTGATAGAGACACTAAGAAGAAACATAAACATAAACTCTAATTTTAATAATATATATATTTTGTAGTTGATTTGTTTATCTGGTCTAGCCAGCATCATGACTTTGTTTACCAATTAGGATGTCTTTATCTCTGTTTTAAATGACAAATCAAAACACTGAATATATTGAAGTAATATTATAGTATTTTGTGCGCTTTTTTCAGGACCCTCACTTCTCGGGCACATTGCACTGCTGGCAGCTCTCCATCTGGGCCGTGTAATCCTCAATCTGAATGGTCGTCTCAAAGAAGTTGTAACGCAAATGAACCGCCGAGGTGGCTGCGTCCAGGATTTGCTTCGGATTGGCATTAGCAGCTGTGAGGGGAAAGGGAGAGGGAGAAGGAAACGATTAAGCGGTATCAGAAGGATAACATTAATGGGGGCCACGGAGCCAAGCCAAACTCCACCGCTCCCTCCTTCTCTCTCTGGCTCTCGCTCTATCAAAATTGTCCACGCTTAAAAAGCCATTTCAAAAATAATTAAGCTAATTGCTCACTGTCTGCCCATGGACATGGCCACGGAGCAGGGCCAGCAGCGCAGTGGGAAAACAGCTTAAAACAACAACAAATCCATTGGGATAATTACCATCCATGCCCAAAAGCGCGCCCAAACACACTCGCACACACACACAAAGCCATGGAAAACACATGCATCAGGACACACTCGAAACAAATGAGGCTAAGTTTAGAAATTTAATCCCTAACTTTTGGAAAATTCTAAAAAACTAGGAAGTTATGTAAATTAATCTTAAACTTGCCCTAACAAACTATTTGCCATTTAGAAGCGTACAATTTCCTAATTTCTTTTCTTTCAAAGGTAGATCTTTTTCAAAAGTTTAACATTTCGTTTATATAAAATTCATATATTAAGATTTCTAATTAAATTTCTACTTTGAGACCGATCTATATTCCAAGTGCATAAGGCACCCAACACGACCTTTCTGGTCTGATTCGGCTTGGCCTGGTCCTGGTTGAAGCCCTGAGGCGCTACTTACCAATGGCCAAATGCGCAGATAGCGCCACTTTATTAATGCTCAGCGCCCAGATCCGCAGGTTGTGCACCCGCTCGACGCCCTCGATGCCTTGGAATATCTGAAGGACTTCGGTGTAATGCATGTAGTTGGGTGTCCCCTCCATTAGGACCTGCGAGAGAGAGAGAGAGCGGAATGTAATTAAACTGATTTGCTAAAATTATGCGCGGTTTTAGCGATTGGTCAGCTTTGAAATTATATCAAATCAATTATAAATAATTATTTGTGCAAACAAACATACATTAGATAATATTTCCAAAAGTTAACAAGCTAAAAGGAGTTATTATGGTACTGAAAATAAAGTATACTTATTGCTAAAAGGACCAAGGATTAGTGGGAGTGAAATGTTGCATTAATTCAACTGAAATCCCTAAGTAAATGATGGCTAAGCTTAAGACTATTGATTTTGAATTAAATATAATTAATTACATGCAATTTAAAGAGCAATTTCCTTCCCATTTTCTTCACTCACCAAAAGGGCATCCTTCATGATCGTAAAAGTAGTAAACAGGACGATGATGGAGAACACAAAGGTGCAAATGGGATCAACAATGGCATATTCCGGCCAGAAGTAGATCACACCGGCGGCAACAAAGACACCCACACTCTGGATGACATCGCCAATCACATGGATGAGGGCCGCGCGGACGTTCATGTTGACGGCCTCCCGACCCGCCGTCCCTCCGTGGTGATGGGAGCCCGGTGCGGTCTCGGCCAGCACGGCTGCAATTTCCAAATCCAGCGTTGGATCTACCAGCTTGGCATTCTGGTAGGAATACGTTGGCAATCCGCTGCCGGGCAATTCGGCGTCCTCCGGGGCGAAGGCCACGCCGCCCTCAATGCGCTGGGTGGGCGAGGCGGAGCAGGGCGTGGATGTGGCATGGGCATGGGACTGCAGGCCGGTGGACTTCTTCTTTCCCTTCTGCTCCTTGCTCTTGGCCGAGCCACCGTGACTGTGTCCATGCCCTCCACCCAGGCCATGCGAGTGGCCGTGTTGCAGTTGAACGCCCATTCTGTTGTGGAGAGAGAGAGAGAGCGGAAGAGAGGAATTGAAAACGTTATCACAAATATTTAATATGCTTGAAAATGTTGCAAGCTATGTTGTGCCGGCCAACAACTCCCAAAAATCCCCGTCCCTGTCTGGGCCACGTTAGCCCGGCCACAGCATGAAAACAAAAACGCACCCGAATGCTTTTTCGGCTGCTTTATTTGCCGGCAAAAGCGGGGCTGCAGCGGAATGCGGGCAACGCTTTTGCATTGTTTGGCATTTTATTTCAGCATTTTAATGCCCAACAACAGTCGCACCGCACAGTCAAACAAACACACTCAGGTCACACACGAGCAGCAGTGGGTCCGGAGATGTGCAAAAAATCGTAAACCAAATAAAGTGCGGAAATTTAAACCCTCGAAAGTAAGGGAGAGTTTGAAGGTAAAGCTCGAAATAAAGCTAGCTAAGATTATCTATTAAGATTTGTCTAATATATACTTGATATTCCTAGGAAACAAGGATATTAAAGTTAAGAAAAAAATATATATTGGAGAACATTTTGATACTTCATCTTGTAAAGAACAAACAGGGACCAAAGCTTTAAAATTAAAGATATTATAGGTGAGATATATTTGGCATTCCAGCTTTATATTGAATTCTCATTGTTAAAGCTCTAAAATCTTTGAAAATGATTTAGTAATTACTTTAAAAACCCAACTAACCAAGTGTGCAACACAAACTGATTGCTTAAAATAAATACAACTGTTTAACTAGACTCTATAGGTTAAGCAGTCATTACCATAAATCAACTACATATTTATTTTATTTTTTTCCCCCAAAAAATAAATATTTTAGGTACTGTCCAGTGTGTGTGTGTAGTCTCCACCACAATTCTGGCAGGACACCAGCTCCTCGTCCTGCTGCTCCTGGTGCCTCCGTGCTCACCGTTTTGCTGCTCTGTGCACACCGGAAGGTGTATATGCCAGGGATCCTCCGAGCAGACCGACCATCCAAACTAACCGCTCCTGTCCGATTCCGACGCTATGCCCATCTGGGCTGCTCCAGTTCAGTACGTCCGGACCCATTGCCGCATGCAAATATACAAATGTATTGTCGAAAATGGCAACCAGTTGACCAGGCCGCCCCCAAAAACAGACCGCCTCTTGGCCCACGGCATGCATCAGGCAGTTAATAGCTCGGCACATTGACTTTTTATTCATTTTAAATGCTCCGACATTGCAGATTTATGGGTTTTCTATTTTGGGTCGAAAAAGGGCCATGGTCGTCGGCCAACGTCGACATGCCAACGCACGGGGGCTCCATAAACGACTGCTCCTCCGCCTCCTCCTCCTCCGTCGCCGCCGGCTGCACTTAGCCGGATTTTTGTGGAAACAATGCACTGCCGGGCATCAATAAATAAAGTCGCATAAATTACGCACAACCATTGGCAGGCCAAACACAAAGCGCCAAGTGAGCAGCCGCGGAACGTTCCAGTTAACCATCCGTTGGGATCGGACCGGAGTCCTCCATGAAAGTATCCTGCAACCAAAGTCGATTTGACGCTAATTGACAGAGTGTCAGCCAAAGCCATTTTGACGTTCTCAGTGTCGTTATGTATTTGGTTTCAGGAATCAATAGTGAAAATATCATTAAATATAACAATTACAGGTCCCTAAAAGTATTATTTCTTTGTTCTAACCAAGAGTTTATCTAATAGATACTCAACTCTTTAATGAACAAGAACTGTTTTTGAAATAAAACTTAAATAATGTGTCAGCGACCAAAGTTAAATCAGTCAGTCAACTTAAAAAACCACATTTTGTTGGACTTTCATCCTTTACCCTCTTTAGTAAATGATTTAGACACACCGCCCGTCAAATAAATACCAACAGTCGGTTGTAAAATGCGCGTTAAGATGAGCGCAATAAACGTGCCTCCTTGTCCTTAGCCCAGGACTTTGGCGATGGTCCTGCTCTCCATGCCCGACAGCTTAACGAGCTGCTCATCCGGGCGACAGGAGGGAACAGAGCGCGTCCAGGACCAAGAGCTCCAGGCATGACCCGAGACGTCCTTAGTGGCTGCAAATCCTGGCAACAGTCACATACGCGACCAAAAGCTAAAGCCACGCCAAGGCGAGCTGAGTCAAGATATGCGCTAATATTTATGTTCCTGTCAATTAAATCAGGACATGGCATATACGCTGCCAGGAGGAGAAGCTACCAACTCGCCGCCAGTTCCTTGGCTCGCTGCTGGGTTTCCCACCTCCTAGGTCCCGGGTCATGGGTCCTGCGTCCCTGTGTCCCTGTGTCCTGTATCCAGAGTGCTGGTGTTGTCATGGCTGCTGTCGTTTGTTGGCCACTAACGAGGCGAGTAAAGATGCCGCAAAATCAAGGGGAAATGCTTCATTGCGCGCTACAAATTACAGCGACGCAGTTGGAACAACAATGCCGGGTTAGCGGGCAGGGGGAAGGAAGAATCCTGCGGAGAATCGCTGCTGTTGCTGCTGCTGGTGGTGGTGGGGGAATGTCGCTCACATTGGCATTTTTTGCGCTCGAGGACACACAAGCCCATGGCAGGCGAGCCACCAGAAGTGAAGGGGATTGGGATTGGGAATGGGAATGGGCAAAGTGGCCGTGGCCAGGGGTAATGCCTCCGCAATCGGATGTTCAAAGTCAAAAAGCGTATGTGCTCTGCATGGAATCCCTGGAACCAACGTGTATCACCACCCAGCACTGACCACCATGGTGGGTTGTGATAAAGACCGAGGTAGAAATGCTACTAAAATTTTGGCAAACATTTTTAGATATTAAGGAAAGAAGGGGGATAATATTGGCTGAAGAGAAATGATATACCATATGTATAAAATATAAAATATTAATACTGTTCCCAAACATTGATTTTATTTAATGTGCTAATGCTACTAATATTAAATAGAATCACAAATCACCCCAGAGAACATCGACATTTCATCTTCTGAATATTTTTCGAATATATTTTGGCCATTTTTGAAGCAATATCGAGACACCTATGAGTACAGCAGTGGCCAAGTAAGAAGAAAAAGCTGATTGTGCATCACTATCTCCCCCACGAATGTAGCAAGATCTTTCTGCTGCTCCCTACAATTTATTTAGTGGACCATCAACGCGTTGTGCTCCACACGAAGCTACAGCAGGCACTGGCATCGCGTCCTCCTCCATTCATTCCCGTTCATATTTATTCGCTCCTTGTGTTTATTTTCTGACGTCTCCTGTTTTTTGCTGTTTGACAAATTATGGCCACATTTGGCCTGGTAGCTTTCTCCCGGCTGAAACCGGCTAGGCCATCACAGTGGGGTCTGAAGGAATTGAAAATGAAATTGAGTTGCTCGCCTAACAAGCTTTTGGCCAGTTTTGGCCTCAAGAGGATGGTGGATAGAAAGGACACTGAGCAGAGACGAACAGTAAGCAGTAAACACAGGCAAGTATCAAAATATATTTTCCAGATGAAACAAAATAAATTAAAGAAAAGTTTAGGAAACTTAACCACCTTAAAGAAATTTAAACAATCAGCAAAAATCGATTTAATATTTACAATCCAAAAAGCATTTTGAAGTCTACATATAGAAATATTATTTCTAACTGAAAGCATACTGATATTTTACTCTTCATTTTCCCTAAATTAAGTACTATCCCCAAACGTTCTTAAACTTTTCAATTACGGATTGAAGGATTTTCATTTGCTATACCTTTCTCTGAGCCAAATTTATATGATAGCTTTAAAGAAAAAAAATCCGCTGTGCATTCATCCATCTGTCGTTTTCTGCCATTTTCATTCCCTTTGCTAAGCTTTTCCATCTCCACATTCTGGTTGTAATTGCTTTAGCACCTCTCGGCCCCAAAAACTGCTTCCCCACCAGAATAAACCTCTCATATTTCACTGGCATTTACTCTCGCTAATGTCCCATTTGCAGTTTAAGGTCAGGCTTTTCCAGAGTTCGAGTGTATGTTTCGTATACAGTAAAAACTTCACTTCATGACTAATTGCTTTGTTTTTTAAAAGATTTTTGATGATTTTTATTATAATCTATTAATCTATTATATGCTTTCTGTTAATGGTACATTTTATTATAGAATTTAATTTATATTTAAAGCAAAGGTATTTAAGTTGTTTCTTTATACAATTGTATAATCTTCTCGGAACTTAAAGATGTTTCATCCGATTGTGAAGCAACATTTATCAATGAAAAGATTGGGAACTATATTATGGGTAGAATTTTCGGGTGACTATATAATATTTTGAGTTACTCGCATTTGAGTTCCAGTTTCTAACCTCCATTTACCAATTTTACGGACTGAAAAATATGATGCTGTGAAAATTTGATTGTTTACCGTGTCAATATCAATCAATATCTAAAATTAACAGGAACGTAGACTGTAAGTCAATTCATTTTTAGATTTCCAAGATAAGATCTGTTTTCTAAAATACTCAAATAAAGAAATAGGTAAGTTTGGAATTACTGGGAATTATTCATTTTGGGTGCTCTAGGTGCTCAACAACATTCTATTAGTTTGTTTTTGTTCCGATGAATTTCAGATATTTTTCTGTTTCGGTCAGTTATTAATAATGAACTTTAAAATTAAAGGTTTCTAATCTATTTTCAAAACATAATGCTCTCAAAGATGATCACGTAGACTACCGATTAGAATCTATATTCATTGGATGATGTTTCCCTGTACTTTGGTTATTTAACTCCCACCCCCTTGGCCCCTACCATTTTCCCCCTGATCTTGTTCCATTTGCTTCGCCGCTGCTTTGGCACTGCTCTAATGGGCGCTTTAACGATGTGAAGTCGACGGACGTCGTTGCCGCCACTCAAAAGTTAACCCAGCAACAACTACAGAAGCACAAAAAAAAGCGAGCCGGAAACTTCTGTGCGTGCGCATGTGTTTGAGTGTGTTTCTGTGCTATTTTTGGCATTGTGCTAATTGAACTAAAAACTGGCAAAAAATAAAAATATAAAAATAAAATCCCAGAGAGAGAGAGAGCTCAACAACTAAATGAAACTAAGTAAAAAGCCTTCAATAAGAAAATAGTTCAAAATGACTGCAAAGTCGTTCGCCCGAAAGCATAGCAGGCAAAAGGTGACCATTTTATTCTATTGTTCGATCACAGGTAATTGTTACACGAAAATAAAAATCAGGTTCTGTTATCAAACTTTACGAAACCCGATTAAAATCAAATATTTTCTTATGATATTATTTCAAGCCAGAAAGAACCTTATATTAATTAGGCAAAGCAACGATTGAAGAATGATTTCATCGGTTTTAAAATATGATTTCAAGTGTATGGCAGACTTACAAGTCCAAATAGTAACCGGGAGCATTGACTTGACTTAACTTCCCACTTTTATGGCAGCTTCCGAAGATGGCCCTAGCCGCGGTCCTCTTCTTGTTTACCTGCCCGTCTCCTACTGGCCATCTTCTCCTCTGGCTTGGCCAGAGCTCTAAGCCTGGAGAGTTGCTTCTGCTGCACGTTTTTCACAATCAATTCACGTAATCAAACAATTCAAGTGGCAAACACTGAAAATGCCAACGTCAACTGGAAAATTCTGCTCTACCCGCTCAACTGCCAACAACAAGAGCCATGCCACACACAAGCACCGGGAAAGAGGTGAAAAACGGGGGTAACGCTAGGTAACGTTTTGGGGAAAAACTTGTGTGTGTGAGCTCGGCATTGAACGTTGCGATTTATGCGCCAAAAACTATGCTTCGACAGCCACATGAATGAGCATCAATGGGGACATGGGAGCAGAGTGGGGGGCAGATGTTTGCAGGTGCTGCACTCAACGAAATCAAAACAAGAGCAGCGATTAGGAAAATTTAGAAGGTGAACAGGGAATGCTCTACTCGAAACCAGTGAAATGTAAGGTTTTAATTAGGCAAATGAATACTTAATTTGATCTTCATTTAAGGCTTATTCTAAATTCTTTACCTTTGCAGCAAATGCTTTAAAACAAGAGGAAATATTGAGTTCCTTGTACAAGCAAAATTGAATTTAATAAGGCGTTAAATTCACCAGTGTCGATTTATTTTTAGCCTCACAAAGTGAAATGAAATCCAACGTTTAGGGGGAAAACCCCAATGGCACGGCACCACCAATTCGAACAATATTAAAACCCTCCACGATGGCGAGCTACCCCGTACCGCCTAGAGAATTCTCCACCTTTGCGGATAGCCAACACAAACACAAGCAACTCCTCTCGTTGCCATCGCTTTTGGCCTTTGTTAACGCTGACAGAAAAATAAAAAAGCGAAACGAAACGAAAAGAAATTCTAAACTTGTGGAAAAAGTTGTCGCTAAAATGTGGAGAAAGTTGCCGCAACAACTGGCGGATACGTAAGGGAATGCCAGCCAAAAGCGGCAATGGGAATGGGAATGGGCATGAAGACATTGGCAGCACAAAGTTGACCCATTTGCTGCCCCATGCCCTGGACAAGTTGATTGCGGCAATTGCAATTGGAAAACTGCCCAGGGGAAAACAAGAAAAACTTTTGCAGGCACGCGGGAATCAGACATAGCAGTCAGTAGACATACCAGACAGCTGCAATCAAAGATCTGCATATCGAGAGGAATACTTACATGACATTGACCAATATGGCTAGACCCGAGGTGATGAGCATGATCTTGGCGTTCACCTCGTAGTCTCCATTGATGAGGCGTCCAATGGCCAACCAAACTAGGATTCCTGTGATGACCCAGATCATAAATACAGAGGCCATGGCGCCAATAACCTCGGCACGATACCACCCAAAAGACATTCTGTGGAAGACAAAAAGGAAGTATGTTTTAAGAATATTTTCAAAAAGAAGATAAGTGAAGTGAAGGTCTAAACATAAAAATTGGAAAGCGGGATCTGCCTAAGTCTTATACTGGACCACATTTGGTATCTAAAATATATCTTGAAATTTTGATGACTTAAAACTTACTTAAAGAATTTCTTATGAACATAAGATAACTTGAAGGATTATTATCCTTATCTCACCTCTATGATATAAACGGTGGCCTATTTAAAACTGAACACGTTATGATAAATGTGCCCAAAATTTGTCAAATGCTATTTTAATTCCGAGTCCCATGGGCTTGTTCTTTTTAAGAGGGCGTGGTGCTTCGCCCAGATGATAATGTTCGGCAGAGAATTGGGACTGCTCCAGTATTTCCCTAATGTAATGAGCGTTTTGCATGTGCGTCCCTTTACTTCTTTTCGTATATTATTTTTTGGTTAGGTCAAAGTCAACACCTGAACGACGCCGGAGACTCAGGTCGAGGGTCGTTCAATTAAAGCCCAACCCAGACCAGAAAGCAAACCAGCCACAGAGCCACATCAGAGCGAGCCAAAACTAGAGCCTGGCCAGACCAGGTAACCAACCAACCAACCCACCAACAGGCGCAGGAAGAGGCGGTGTGAGGGCCAACCACTCTCGTTATAAAATTGAAATAATGGCAAAAGGCAACAATTTTGCCAGCCTGCTAACTAATGTGATGCCAGAAGGCAGCAGGCAGCTACAGCAACGAATGTCTCGCCATAATAATACAATTTAATTTCCAGCAAACATCCGTCCTGTGCCCCCCTCTTCCACCTCTTCCAGTGTCAATGTATTGCGGGGCTTTCTCTCTCTCTGTGTGTGTGTACAAATATATATGTAAGCCAGGCCCTTGCAGTTGGCGTTGCAAGTGCAGCCATTTGCTTAATGACCGCCTGCTGCTGTCGTCCTTCGTCCTTCGTCCGCCAGCAGCCCCAATGGCGGAGCAGAGAAACATCGCTACCTCAATGGCGGAGCAACGGGGGTACACTGGTGCGATAATTAAAAGAAAGTACCCAAATACACTTAATTGGGATTAGCGATAATGAAATATGGCGCTGTACGTAGTGCCAGCGAAACTTTTTGGCAGCCAACAAAATGGATCATTGGGCAACCGTTTAAAATATAGAGAAGAAAATTATGAATTTTTAGTAAAATTCTAAACTTAAAATGAAGAATTTGAGTCAAAATCGAATCGACAGAGTTAAATTTTGTTGGGAATCACCAGAGTCATTAAATGTATCATTGATTATAGACCTACGTATATCATTATCAGAGACAGCATACACTTGCCACTCAAGAAAAATATAATTAAAAGACTCTCAAGAATATTATATATACATATACCTTTAACATGAAAAGTTCTCATTGTCAACTGAAATATCTTTACAAAAAAAATCTTTTAATCTTAAAATAAACATAATTAATTGTTGATATATTTAAATTGAGATATTAAAATAGTATGATACTTAATTTATGGGTGCTATATCTTAGATTACTTAGATCAAGAATTTGAAATATGAAATACATTATAAAATTTTTCTTTTCGAGAATTCCTATAAAAATATGTTGAATTCCTCAATTTTCAATATCAATAATATTGTTTCCTTACTAGAAATTATTTGTAAATATCAAGTTAAACAAGCCACGTTCAAAAAGCATTTGAACATTCATTTATATAAATTTTAAAATGCTATTAAAAATGATCTAGTGCATCTAGTTGATCGTATTTAGAACTAACAAGTATGTGTGTAAGATTTTATGGTAATTACTTTAAACGCGTCATCAAATAATTACCCTAAAAAACAATAAATTAAATGAAAGAACTTTGCTGAACAACTTCTTCCTATTTATAACTCTATGATGACTATAACAAAAGAATAACATAACATATGTTTAGCTAGTTTACTTTAAGTTTTAAGTTTTAATTTAATTATTATTTTAAAAGAAATTCTAATGCTTTTCCCAGTTGCATGTTCTTGGTACTCCCTCAATGAATAATACCATACGTAAATGGTAAAACATGCACAAAATGTCACTCTAATTACCCCGTGAAATACCGCAGGATCTAATCGAGTCATTCCACTGTACCGTGCTTAGTTTTCGTTCGTTTTGCCATTTCGTTTTCTGCGTTCTCCTTTGCAATTGTGCAAATGTGTTTTGTTTTGATAAATTAGGCTTGTCAACTCGGCAACGCCAGCTCTAGAGCTCTAGGGTGGTGCGGGCCCCAGACCCAAAAGAAGGTAGATGGCTGCGAGCCGCACACTGGAGCCCAAACCCTGCCAAAACGAAAAGCATTCAGCCAGACTAAGGCTGAGGCTGAGGCTGTGGCTGCAACATGCAGCAGCAGCAGCAGCAGCAGCAGCAACATGCAGCATGCAGCATCAGCAACCAGAGGGAACAAGAGCCACTGGAACAGAAACAGAAACAGGAACAGCAGCAACATCAACGCACAAGGGGCGTAGAAGACCAAGTCTGAGTCTGGTGGCAGCAGCGAAATTTACAAAATTACCATGCAACACGCTTGAAATTGCAAAAGTTTTTCATTATTCACTTTGTGGCTGCAGTCGAGTCGTCGAGTGAGTGAGATTTTTGCATGAATGAGCCGAACGTGCCGCTTGCCTCCCTCCTAGTCTGCCACAAGACGGATGCAATGGAGTGGCGGCCAGGAGGGAACGGTCCCAAGGACCAATTGAAAAATGTGCAACGGCCGAAACTACAGTGCGCAGCAGCAACCAGCAGCAGTCAGTGTTGGCAAACAAGCTCATTTTGAAAATAAGATAGATAACTCGCATTGAAGGGTTTCGATATAGAAGATAATTTTGATGAGGAAATCGTTACGCAAGAAGATATATAAATATTAAAATTATACTTTGGAATTAAAAAGATCAAGGTCACTTGAAAGAGTTTGACTACAAAATTAATGAAAGCAACTGTAACTCTTCTTAGAAATACGAAACACTTAAAGTGCACATTATAAAAGTATACTATGCTAAAATGAATTCAAGAAATCAATAGTAAATTTTTAGTAAATAAAAGTATAATATTTTATTATAGAACATTGAAAACTACTATCGCCGCTTAAGAAACATCACATCTGTCTGAAAAAAGCACAAATTGGCAGTCCTAGTTGCAATGGCAACAAAATCGGCCAGAGATGCCACAGGAAAAGCATGGGAAATTTTGAAACAGGCTTTTCGCCTAATTAGACGATGGCGAATGGGGAAATACAGAGACACAGACAGAAAGATAATGGCCCAGCCAAGCGACAGAAATTATGGTGGCAGCGTAAGCGCATAGAAGTGGAATATGAATTGCAGGGCAATGCAGATACATTATTTTGCTGGAATATATTAATAAAATAAAACAGAATGGTCGACAACATCAAAATAGTCGAGTAAATATTCGAAAAGAAAACTTAAACTAGCAGGGTATTTAGAGTATTTTATGTTCATGTTTATATTAAGTACTTTATACTCTGTAAACGATATTTTGTTATAGTTATTATATAAAAGTTTGTGTACTCTTTGGAATCCTTGTCTCCTGAATAAGAGATAAGGAGCTTTTCTAAAATAAACCCTAAATTATAAATCAAGATTTAAGTTTAACTTCAAACATAACAAACCCAATTACCAAGGCTTTCAGAATCTTTAAACATAACTATTTTTACAAAAACCCCTTACCCTATATAGAAGGTACATCTTCTTAATAAAACATCTAAGCTCTTCTAGTTCTTAATATCATATCCACGAATACGAATATACCTTGCAAGTAAAAGGTATTAAAGTAATTTCTATGGATTTCCCAGACCAAGGTCTGAAAGTCACCAGGTTCGCACACAAAGCACCAGCCAGCGACAAAGAACAAAAAAAGAAATGCAGAAAAGATTGAAAGTTTACGTTTTATTGATTTCCCTTCCCCCCTGTAGGAATGACTTTTGGCAGTGTCTTTATTTGATGGAGGCACATTGGGAGTTGGGAGTTGGAAAGTACTTACCGTTGCGTAGACGGTCGCCCGGCAATCCAGATGGCAAACAACGAGATCATAAAACTGGCGAAATCGGTGAGCAAATGTGCGGCGTCTGTTGCGATGGCCAGGCTGTTCGATAGGACGCCACCTGTTCCAGGTCGGATTTGGGAATAAATAAATGTGCAAAAAATTAACTCGACAATCTGTGGGAATTGCGGACGTTGATTTTTGGGGCCAAAAAGGGGTTGAAGGTATGCGTATGCGGGGACGAGGGTTACAAGCCGCTGGCTCTCGTTGAAAAACAGTAAAAAGGAGGAGCTCTCAACTGGTCCCAGGCACTCTGTCTATTTTGCACAATCGGAAAAACAATTTCGATTTGAAAGCGAGAGAAAGAAAGAAAAGTGCAAAACGAGGTGGGACAAAAAAGAAATCCTCTTTCCTGCCCCACCCTCGTGCGGAATGGAACATTGTAGGTAATTGCGAAACGATTAACGACGGCAGCCGTCCCTCGAAAATTAAATGTTTATTGTATAACCACCGCCAGCGCATCCCCTTTCAGGCGCCCCTGGGCCGTCATAAACGGAGGACGGTTGACAGCAGACAGTAAGCCCTTCCGGTCGCCATATTGTTGCACTTCCGGTTCTCAGTTTTTAATCGTCTCGTCGACGTCTCCTTCGAGTCCCTTTTTTCCTTTTGTTTCTTTTATACTCTTTTCTTTTTTGCTTTCCGCATTGTTTGACTCTTTTCGCTTTTCCCATTTTACTTTTTTTTTTTTGTATATATTTGTTGGCTCAGGATTCTTGAAGGTGAACAAAATTAGTTTGGGAATTGAAAAGCAGCGCAAAAAAAAAGATCAACAACAGACGTGAATATAAAGAAAAAGAGGTCTTTGTCGGGTTGTATAGTATATATAACAAGTAGGAGAGTTCACAGAGACCATAAAGAAGGGAATATTCATTCTATAAGTATTAACTCCCAAAACTCACCCACAATCTCGGCAATCATAAAGACCAAACACAAGATACTGGCTATGATCAGCTTTCGTCGCGCCTTAATATCCACTCCCTCGCTCCGAGCCCTATGGCAATGATCCCGGACTGAAATAGATTTATAAAATATATTAGTACAAAATTAAACAAAAATATTGAATAAAATATGGTATAGTGTTTTATATTCGTAGTTAATTTACAAGACTATAAAGGTTATCATTAGCGAATCAACCTTAGACTTTCTTTGCAATTAGTGTAGAAGTTTATCCTTCGGTTTCTACATACATTTCTTAACTTGCAACTTATTTAATAAATTAGTAAGGTTCTGTTAACATAAGAGTTTTATTTAATTTAATTCAATTCAAATCAAGGCACCTTTCTATTTATATTTAACCAACTTATTACATATGCAATGTTTGCTTCTACAAGAACTCATTGCTAAAATTGTATTTATTCAACAATGTAAATAGAATATTGTTTTGAAAAGTAACCCAATAGTTTTCCTTAAGGCCTGCTTAAGGATATTTAAATGATTTTTTAAGTGTTAAATTAACAATGTGCCATTGCACACATGTGAAGCGCATTGAGTCCCGGGAGTGGGGAATTCGTTTTCCCTTCGACCATCCGTTATGCCGTTGAGCATGCAATACATATTTACAAAACAGGCATTTAAATTTATTTAACATGGTACGTGAATAATGACCGCCAATGCTGCTCCAGCTCCTGGTGCTGCTCCCAACTGCCACGCCCCTCCCATATGGATACGCTATATGGCCCATTTCCGAGAGTTTCTGCGCTTGTTTTTATGGTATTTTTCCCCTTTTTTGGTTTTATTCTCTTTTGGGGTGTCAGTGACAGGCGAAAGTTGGTAGTTGCTTGGCTCGGTTTGGTTCGCTGCTTGGTTGGTTGGTTGGTCGGCTAGGAGCAGTCTATTAAATACTTTATTGCATTTGTCGCAGCCGTATTTCATGCTTTGTCATTTCCGCTGCATTTTCTTTGCACTTGCTCTGGTCGCTCCTTCTTCCTCCCACTCCTCAATTTTCCTCAGCTTTTCTCTCTCACTCCCTACCAGGAGCTCATTGTTCGCAGCGGGAAAGGCTGCAAGAATGTTCGGTGGGGACGGTGGATTTCTCTACATGTGCATATGCTTCGCTGACTGAGCTGGGCTGCCTTCTTTTGGAAACGGGATGCATAGAGGTGAGCTCGTGATTTTCCCATTTTTCTTTGAATTTTAATCAAGTTCAAGATTAACTCATTAAAGAAAATAAACCGATCTGAACCAGGTATTACTCGATCTTCTAATTATGATTTTCACTTGTATATATTTATCTTTAATCTACTGTTTAAATATACTTATTCCTAGCTCCCTTCTTCTATGAAATTCATTTAATTTATGGAATTAATACATTATCTAACAGTCACAGCAACTATTGAATGACTTGGTCAACATGTCGTACACTTTAATGATCATTTCCTGTAAAAGTAGATCTGTTCTCCTCTATCTGATTGCTATACTTCCATAAATGGTACAAAATATTAAAGAAAATCAATGTTTTCGGGTCGTTCTGTATATGTTAAAATAACTTGTTGTTTTTCCTACGTGGCAGTTGACATAAGGAGCCCCGCTCATCGCTGATGTGGTGGCTTTGTGAGCGCAGTTTCTTCATTTGAATCCAGCACAAGGCCACCGACGCGTGGCCTCCGTCTGCCGGCGACCGCTTCCTGCTCCTGCTCCTGCTCCTTCTGCTCCTGCTCCTGCCACCTCCACTTCCTGCACATCCTTCGCAGCCTTCGCCTCCCCATGCTCGCCACACACTCCACACACACACAATGGCAGTAACAAGGCCGGCAGCGAAATTAAATTCCTGTGCATAACCAAGGCCCACCCGGTACTGGCGAAGTCGCTGCAACTGCAAGAGCATGTGGAAATTTCACCTATTAGACCCGCATCCGGCTCCGCTCCAAGCAACAGCAACACGCTGATGCATAAGAATCGTCGTACTTGCAATTTAAACAACTCCGATCCATCTGCATCTTTAATTGGTCGCCTTGGACCGTTCCGTTCCGTAACGTTCGTCTTGTTTGTTTGCGCACTGCGGAAAGTATGTTGAGGTCCCCGTGAGGTTGGGACACATGGTTGCCTTGGCATTCACAACGTGCTCGGTGCCCGTTTCCTCCTTTGCTTCCTCCATGCCATGGCAACAATTGTACAGAGTACTTGTATTCATAAATAATTAATGCAGAATGGGGGATCGATGCCAGTGGGGAATGGGATGGTGACGAACCAAGTGCTGCTGGGTCACCACCATTAATTGAATTGAATAGAATTCGCGAAAAGAATGCGTTCCATTATGTGCAAATATCACACAGAACTTGTCTGGAACGTTGGGACAGTTAAAGGTGATCCAAGGTTCGTCCAAAGGGTGTTATAACACAGCAATTTGCATTTATTTACTAAAACAAAAACTAGTAGCAGTAGTTAAAGCCCTAAAAAGGCTAGTAATAGCTAATCAATATGTATTGCTTTCCATATTAGTGTCCCATAACTATTACTATTTTCTAGTATTTATCAAATATATTACTCATAGTTTGACATTTCAATTATTAAACATCTTAAACAGAGTCAAGTGTTTTTGTAAACTTAAAGCTCCCTTATTCCCTTGATTTGCTGCTTCTCTCCATTGTAACTTGTAACTAAAAGTACATATTCCCATTGTAGTTATCCCTTGATCCTTGCTCATTAGCAAGTTACCTGGTCTTGTTTCCGCCTCCTTAAGCTTGTTATCCATTGCCCAAAATCGAAGAAATCTTCGATAACAATAGATCCACACTCCTACTACTACTCATGGGAACAATGCACGGACCTCTGTGGCTGCAGCTGCTTAGTATTCCGGCATTTGAAAATGGTCGCATCTGGACCGCGTTTAACGAACGACTAACTACGGGCCAGCGCAAATCAAAGCAGCTGCATCCAGCTGCACAAGTATCTAATGGGGAGCTAGTGGCTCGTACAATGATTGAATGCACCGAGCGCCCCAAGACGCTTATATAATATTCATGTGAGCTGACTATACAGTATACAAGGTATGTGCATTTCGGAGCTCAACGGCGGATCCACCTTGTCTAGACACAAGTTAATTTCATTTCAGAACTCGTTCGTCTGCCAATAAATCGAATCATCAAAAAACGGGGATATACTTGTTTAGTTTTAGCGACTATCAAATGCCCAGTAGTTTAGGGTTTAAATTTTATCAATTCAAATATCAATACAATGAAGATCGCAAAAATATGGGGATAAGAAAAAGAATTGTCTTCAAGAAATTATGAAAAACTATAGCATATTGTGGAATATTTTCACTATTTATAATTATATTTAATGTTCAAATTCTATAAAAAGTGGACTTCTGTATTATCTAACGGCTCTAAAAAAATCGGACTAAAAGGAATCGACAACTTCGTTCTTTTTTCAATAATTAAGTCACAAAACTTGTTACATACATTTTTTAAGATTTCAAAATGGTTCTTCCGTTTACCATTTACATAGATGCAATAGAGATAAATTATGCCAGAAACATAGAACATTATTGTTGTTATTCCGGCATACATATAATATTTAATATATTATATAGTTATGATTGGAAATATCTTAGATAACTACTTATTCTAACTACTTAAGATCTTAAGTTAGATAACAAAAGTTTATACTATAATTTAAACTAAGGTTCAAGATGAATGAAGAAGAATAAGTAAATAACAGCCTAGTAAATAACAGAATTTTTTTATTTTAAAGAAACAGAAATGGATCTAAAGTGTAATATGTTCATTTAACCAAATTTTTGGAATAGAACCTTACTATTGCTCCAGCCCAATATACCCCTTTAAAAAGCGGGGTACAAATAATGTACCAACTTGCAGACGCTGCAAAGGAAATTAAAATATAAACTTGATGGCATAGCCACATCGATCTCTAGGTATTGGAACATTCGCAGACGTACTCCTTGGAGTAGGGGACAAGAAAAAATGAGGCAAACATTTATTTGGTTCATCGACGATGTCGTACGTAAATTATGGGACCAAGCCTTACGTTACGTTGCGATTTATGACATATGTATGTCCGTGGTGGGATGCGGTCTGCTCCCAGGAGCGGTGTGTCGGCAAAGAGCATAAATTTTGATTATAGCTCAGAGATGCTGTGAGAGGGAAGTCATGGGTTGTGGGTGGTGTGCTGAAGTGGTTCAGGTCCGCCATAATTTGGTTGGCCATTCTCGAGAATCATCGGCTGATTGATGGCGGAACCGAATTCGGGGCCAGTTGGGCGGGTATAGGTATTAAGGCTTTCTGGGGAGGTGGCAAGTTGTTTCTCACCATATTCGTGAAGCATTTCCATGCGGCATTTATCCAGCGAACTCGCCGCTTTCCGGCACAGCCGGGCATCATTCATTTCCGACGATTTCCGTGCCGGCTGCCAATTAGCGAGCATTTATCCGATATTACAGCTCCTCTCACTCAACACACACAGCCGGCAGGCAGCGCACTGTTTTCCGATTTTCGGTTAAAGTAAGAAAAAAAAACAACAAACACTTAAGAACAATCAAGCAACTACACTAGTACACACTATACACATACACAAGAAGAAAAAAATAATAATATCGTGAAAATAACAATGTGAAAACTAATTTTGTTGACTTTTTTCGCTGTCGATTTTGATTTGTTTGCATTTGACTTTTAGTGCAAAATGCCACTGCCTGCTGCGTTTTCTTGATAATTTATGAATGACTGCAAATTGCTCGGAGGGAGTCCGCCCTGATTGAAAGCGACACGGAAGGCCTCCTCCGTTGCCGTTTGTCGCAGCACCCGCTCCGCGTTTAACCCCTTTTGCCGGCTTACCTTCCACGTTGTTGGACCGCCCGTGTAAACAAAAAATTTGTGCAGGTGTTGAGGGCGTTGCCGGGTGATTGTTGTTGCCATTGCCAGCGCCTCCATTGGCACCTGCCTGTCCCTGCTCCAGCAGGTGGAACGACGGAGCCGTGCCATAGTTACTGCGCCGCGACCGATCTGAGTTGCGTCTGCAAAAGAAAACAAAGATGACTTAGCAGGGGGACTTTTCCAGAGAGTAAGCACAATAAATACAACAATTTAAAGCCGAAAAAAATAAATTAATCAACAAAAATGGAGTTAAAATATATATCTCACAATAAAAAGCATAAATGCTGGTCAAAACTATGGGAGTTAGTTAGTTTTTAGCTTCTCAGTTTTAGAGTTAATTAATATACATATGTTTGGTAATATAAAATATGTAGATTGTTTAAAATATGTAGATTGTTTTTAATATAATTCACTTATTGGAATTACGGCTAGAATTGAAATAGCACAAACATATGTGAAGGCTTTTGCAGGATTAAATATTTGAAAGGAAAGTATGTTGTTTCAGTTTAATCATTAACAAATTAAACATTGATTTTAGAATAACTTATGTTGAGTATTTCGCTCCTTTCTGTATATATTTTGTTGTATAAAAAGATTTTAATATTAATTTTTGAACGGCTAAGTTTAAAATTAATTATCTATGTTACAAGATCTTCTAGATAAATAGCCACTACATTATTATAGTTAACTTAAACTCCATTTTAAAATATTTTATGAGCTGTTAATAAAAATTGAAGTGACCTTTCCTATATATAAACAAATATAAAAGGCAATAAAAGTGGAAAAAGGTAAAGATCTTGTCTTTGTTACTCAGGTTGATTGCGCTTTGTAATGTCACGTAAATACCCGGACTAATTGTATAATTAAATGGTGACATTTCGTTAGACATTTTTGCAACCAAGTTTCTATAGAAATGTGCTTGTTTTCCACCGTAAACAAAAGCACGACGTACAGGGGGGAGTGAGGGGAAAATGAAAAGTAACTGCAGCCACAGGAGCAGAAGCAACACGAAAACTTTTTTTGGAAAAGCTTCAACTCGAAAAACGCAGCGTTGCCGGTGCCAACACAACACTGCGGCATTTAAGCAGACACAATGTACTGCTACGCCCACGGAAAACCACGCCTTCGCCTTTGCCTTTCCTTCCCAGGAAAATCCTCGTCCTTCCCCTCCCAGGTCGCACTGTAATGAGCTGATGCTTCGGAAAGCAGAGAAACGCTGGAAAAAAGGGTTTTTTTGATAGGTGCTAAAATGAAAAGTGCAGCGAAAAATTCAATTTGAAGTTTTGTTACTTAACGCAAACTACGATGACTACTTAAAGACCACGCCCACTGCCACACCGCCCTCTGCGCCTTCATCAGCAGCACGTGTGTGTGTGTGTGCGTGTGATGTGCCCGTTGATAAGTTTCCCGCCCATGTGTGGGTGTGAGCCAGTGCAAGTGCGCGTAATTTTTACTACGAAAAGTGTAAATGGCGCTAAACTACTTGCTCTGCAACTTTCCAACGCAATTGCACAAAGGAAAAAAACTCGGCAGGAAGAAGAAGACGAAATACAAAAAAAAAAACATCCAAATACGTTGCCCGTCGCTTTTTTTTATCCAACTTCTCTTGGGGTGGCCTTGCTGCGCACCTAGAGTGTCCTGAGACCCCGGGAAACCGTCACCAGTTGTCGCCGCTCCCACGCGGTCCGCTTTTACGCCTATTTAACAAATCAGCAGCTCATTTGGCGCTTTATGTTAATTTCACCCAAATGAGATTTTATTTTCGGCGAACTTTTGCTCGCCGGAACTTTTCGTAGGAAGTCAGACGGACGATAAACCCATCACCCATCCTTTCCCCACTTACTTGGCAATCGGTGTATCCTCGTTTTTCGACATTTCTTTTTCTGGATATTTCCAAAACAATTAACAAAATTTTACAATTTAACACAAGCGCACAGGTGGCGAGCCAACGATACAAGCAGAAACTCTGACCATCGAGTGTATCATATACGATTCCATATGTACGACTGCTCCGGACTCGGGAAGCTGCGAGAGATAAGATCCAAGCAAACATGAGATAAGCCTCGATAAGACTTACAACTTTCGGACCGAAGAGAGCCGAGTGCAAGGCCTGTGTTGTTGTTGTTGTTGTTCTTGGTGCGAGAGAAGAAGTGGATCAAATCTTATCAGCGGGCAATATCAAGTGTGTGTATATACAAAGCACACGGGCTGCTTGCGCTCCGTTCGACGATGGTAACGTGCGCTAAGAAAACGGGATCTGTTTACCTCCAACAGGCAGGTCTATCAAGTCAATGGATAAAGGTGGAATCAACTTGCAAACTAATAAGAGCTAGCATCAGTTTGAAGTTTGGCGGTTAGGCTAGGGTTGCCAGATGGGTGAAAGTAGGTTGAGCTTGGTATATTTTTGGTATTTACATACCGCACAATGTATAATTTACATATGTGTTGAAAGTTTTTAGTGGTTCATTTAGTTTATTTAAAACAAAAAGCTGGTATAGAGAATATTAATTACTAAAGCGGATACTTTTAAATAATATTTTGTACGGATCAAATAAGGTTATGTTATATTACAAACTATATGCAGCGATTTAAAATCTTCTTTATCTAAAGACTTTCTGTTTTAAATTTTTAAGGATTAAGGTGATCCATAAATCAATTTTTATTTTTAATATTCACTTTAGTAATTTTATTTCTAAAAGTTTGTATAAGAAAATTTGCATGTTTATTAATTATCTTAAAACTTTATAGTTTATAAAGTTTTAAAAATGTATGTTTCGCTGTAGAGATATTTATTCTTCCGTTTGATATTAGACCAAATCTGGCCTTGGCATAAATTAAAAAAATATAAAGGTCAGAATTAACTTTAATTCCAGTTCTGGAAAGACTAGATTTAATATGGTATAATTCTCCAATTCAGCCGTATTGAGAAATATAATACACATTACGGATAATGTTGTTAGATTAATTAAAAAAATAAATACCAAAAGCACATGAACTCCTTGTAGTGTCAGCAGAAATAACTGTTCATCCCTCGTAAATAACGGTAACTTGATTTCCGGCTTTCCAACCCTATGCGATATTTATTCGTTACAAATGGCGCATCACTAACACGTAGGCAATGTTTAAAAAATCAATACGATGGCCACAACGTGCGGGAATTCGTTAAAGTTTAGCAACCGTTATTAGTCAACGATGTCGGGGCGTTGTGCACTCGGATTGAAAGCCATTAACTCGCCGGGACTGCCGCCGCAGTGACAAAATGGCCAACTAAACGGAACGCGTGTGCGAAATCAGAAAAACGCCTGTCCGAAGCATCAGCAAGGCACCAAGTGATGGCTTCTTCCTCTTCCTCTGCGCGTGGAAACAACAAAGGTGCCACGGGTCCTGCTTCCTCTTCATCGTCAGCTCCTGCTCCCGCTCCCGCTACCGCTACCGCTCCCGCTGCCGCTACTACTACTGCTCCACCTCCTCCTTCCGCTCCACCAGTTGTGTCACTCAGCGACCTGATTGGCCAGCAACTGAAGCAGCTTAATCCGGAGGATTTGCTATACAAGGATGAGCTGCAGCTGGTTCTGCTCTTAACCCCCGTGCAACGCCGAAGGCTCAGCCGAGACTTGGACTTGGATGGCGATATAGGGGCCAGCACCTCGACGGCGCCACTTTCCCGTCCGGAGAATGCCGAGGAGGATGATGACCTGATTGGAGCTGTGGGCGGTTTGAGTATTTCGTCCCCGAATGCACCAGCAACAACCACGACCAAGGAACCACTGCTGGATTTTAGGTGACAAAACGGTGGTTATATGTACAATTGAGGTTTTTATTTGAGCGGGATGGTAGTTTAACCCACTTAATACTTCAGGGGAAGCAGTTTGCTTTCGATTTAAACTAGAAAACTGTATGGCAAGACTATAAAGTAAAAGTAGGGTTTGTAGAAAGATGAATATATGACCCGTCTGGGACCTAGTTGATGTTAAACATTAATTTCCTTAACTTTCTTTTTCTTTATTATATTATAATTTAATGTAATTAAAGAGTACTTAAGCAACGCTCTATAATTTCATTTACTGGTTACCTTTAATAAGGGGAATGGCAACATAATTTATACTTTGTACGCTGCCTGATTCGATCTTATAAATTTTGTACCTGTTAACCTTGTCGTACGAGGCGAAAAAAATATGTCAAAAGCCAATTTCACGAGTCGGCTCAAAATGTGTTTAGTAGCAGAAAAGGTGACCAGCCAGGCCATTATGCAAATCCATAATTGCCCCATGAAATTAATTTAATTTGTGCGGCTTTGCTAATCTGCCAATCTGGCTCAGAAAATTGGTTTTGTAACATTCTCAGGTGGTGGGTGGGTGTATGGATGGGTGGGTGGTCGCTTATTTTGCACCCCTGACCGCCCCTTGTATGTTTTGATTGCATGCATTCGTACGTTTAAGTTAAGCAGCAGCATTGTTCGCTGTCGAACTCGGTATTCGGGTCATTTCATTTCGTTTGGACATTGCCGTGAATAATTAACCAACAATACTTTCTCCCGGACCCGACCACATAGAACACACGTACTCAAATGGTTTCAACATCTGCGCCACCAAACGGGCCACTTCAAGTCGGAGGAGGAGTCGCGTCGCCTCCGGGAGGCTGGCAACGATTCGTACCGCAAGGAGAGGCATCCGCTCAAAGCCAGCGATCTGTTCACGGAGGCCATATTCCTGGCCCCGGCCCGGAATACACTGGCAGCCGCTCTGGCCCATGCCAATCGCTCCCTGGTCCTGTACGACTGTGGCCTATATGCGGTAAGTTCTTCTCCTCCACTAAACCCATTTCCCCCCCTGCTTATCATATTTGACATATGTGGAACAAATCAGACAATTGGCCATCACGTTGGCCAAGTCAATACTCATTTACAGCAATTATATTAGCGACAGCTCATTTCCAGCATGTTTTAGATGGAAATTTGTAATGGAAACTTTGCTATACGCTTTTTGTTTGGAGCAACTTATTATATTATAATTATTATATAAAGTGTTTTAAATTTATAAATTAGATTTTGATTTTATATTTAATATATCCTGTTTCTTTAGGAATCCTATGACGACTGCCTATGCGCCCTGGATTTAGGTTATCCGGAAGAGTATTTGCCATTGATTAAGCTGCGCCAAGCCGCCTGTGCCTTAAAAATGCGTAACTTTGCGCTCTGTGAGGAGCATTTGCACGAGCTCCTTCACATTGAACTGAACCAGGTCTTTGAAACACGCACCCACGAGCTCTGGCACCAATGTGAGGTGCTCAAGGTGGAGCGATTCGAGATGGCAGTGCAAACGGGAGATGATCTGGATACCAACGATTCGAAACCATTTGAAATGTAAGTAAAAAGGAATCTCTTTGCCTACACGCAGATACAATTTCATTATATTTTTACGACAGTGCCTGGTTGGACAACTCATCGTCGCTGCACACCACCCGAGCTGTGGCCAAGAACGCTCTGATCTTCGAGTCCGAAGCGATGGCGATGGTGCCGAGTGGAAGCTGCCGCGTGTGCGACTACTGCGGAATCACCCAATTTATTCCGTTTCCCTGCATTTACTGTTCCAACCGCCTGGTGGTCTACTGTTCACGTCAGTGCCGCTTCAAACATGCTGCGATCCATGCCGTGGAGTGTTTTGGCCACCAGATCGAGTTGTTCGAGTCGTTTGGCGACATCTTTGGGATGCCACGTCTGCTGCAGCTCGCCTTTCGGATGCTGATCACGGGACTGCCGGAGCTGCTGGTCCATTGTCGAAAGAAACCCACGCTGAGTAAGCTGTGGTCGGCAATTAATGGCGGACTTGTGGAGAGGCAGGACATCGCCTACAGTGCTGTGCTGCGTTTGGAACACCTAAGGGAGGAGCAGGCCTCGGAGACTGTGATTACGCTGGCCCTAACCTCGCACATACTGGCCATTTACCTGAGCAAGTGCACCACATTCTTTGAGAAACTGGAGAAGAGCCTGCCAACGGCATCCCGAATGTCTAGCGCGGAATGGGAGCTGCTCTGTGCCGCATTGTTGATGCGACACATTGGCCAGCTGCGTCACAGGTCGCTGACCCTGTGCCGTTCCTTCGTCCTGCCCACAGATCCGCATGTCTTCTCGCCGCTCAATGAGTTCCAGCTGTGGGCAGCTCCCATGCGCCTGCAGGAGGGTCACCTCCATCTGCTGGCCGGCGAGGTGGCAGTGGTTTCGTATGCCGTCTACCCCGAAACACTGAGTCTGTGTCGTCACAGTTGTTCCTCCACGATCTGCACCAAGTTCTCGGGCCGAAAGATAACTGCTCTAGCTCTGCTTGATCTGCCAGCGGGATCCGGTATATACAATTGCTTTGCCGGTGGAAATTTCCAACAATTGCGACGAGAGGAGCGTAGCAAACTTCTCAAGGAGCGCGGCATTAGATGCCATTGCACCGCCTGCCAGCTCTCACACACGGAGGATCAATTTGTAAGGGAGTACTCTTATATTTAACAACTCTACCTAATTTCTTAACCTTTCTTCCAGCACAAATTCCATCGCTATCGTTGTGATAACCCAAAGTGCATGGAAATCTTTACCCTCGACTCGATGCCGCATGCCCCAAACCTGCGCTGGTGGCTGTCCGAGGAGTATACCCAGCCGGAGTACAATGGCGCCGAGTTGATCGTGTGTCCCCACTGCAGTGAGCCCCAGAAACTGGAATGGTTTTGGGCCTTCAACACGGCACTCATCGACTGCGAACTTATAGAGGAGCGATGCAAACTTTATGCGGCCATTGAACGGGCAGAGAATCAGCTAATGGAGCTTCATGAGTGCAAGGTGGCTCTGGCAAGGCTGCTGCTGGAGCAGTGCCTTATGGTGCACCGTGGTAAGTTCATAAAATATGCATAAATATGTGGAGATGAAGTCTGCATCATTTATTCGCTTTGTACTCATTTGCCAGCTCTCACTGTCGCGCTCGGTTGTGCACCCTTCCCAATACTTAAGATTTCCTACTTAATCCACGACAAATCTGAATCTAAAATGTCTATGAATAAAGTAATGATTGCATAGATAAGTTTTTATTTGAATAAACCTTAACATAGGGTATGCATCGCCTTATGGTTGGAAAATTGATTTGAAATGATCTATTTCCAAAAATTTTTTTGCAAGGCCTATCCCCTTTCTTTATAGAGTAGAATGGCTTAAATGCTCACAAATTTCTCGATTCTGTTCCAATTTGAATCAAATGCCATAATATAGTGTTTGTACCTATAATGCAACCAAACTCTGCTTAAACTCTCCTAGTATAAAATAAATATTAAAACATTTGTTTGAAAGAAACAAAGACAAATCGATATCGATATTATAATGTTAATTACAACATCTACCGATATTTAAAATTGGGATTTAACTGAACGATATTTTCGATATGGGAACAATATCCATCTCTCGAGATACATCTATATTTATACTATATTTAAATTTAAACCCCATCTATCCATTTAAGTCTTTCCTATATAGACCCCTTCATATGTATCTCTATCCTAATAAACTATAACTTTTGATCTATTTTCTATCTTCTCCCTCTGCTCTCTGGTCCTATCTCTTGATACCAACCTTAAGAAGGGGCAACCGTGCTAGACGACTGGGAATTCAACAAACTTGGCTCCATCATGCGCTCCGTTCTGCCCAGCGTGATGGCCCAGTATGGCGGGCAGTCGATCGAATATGTAAAGTACTTCGCCTACTTCTGGGACGTGATGGCCCTGAGCAACTACAAGTGCAACGACCGGGAGCTAATGCAAATGCTAAACGCTTTGGAATTCATCGCCGATGAGTTCAAGGATATATTCATTAACTACTATGAGGATTATATTGCGCCCAAATTTGCTGAAGAGTCCTATGGCAGTGTCGTAGATACGCAAGTTTAGAAAATGAAATCAAAAAACAATGAAACAAGCAAACAAGCAAACTTAAATTAACTTAGATTTATTTTACTCTGTAGAGAATCCAAAATAACAAACACACACAAAAAGCTAGGAAAATTCTATTGTTGACCCCTATGAAACCTACCTAACATACATACTTTGTGCTATTATTCAAAAAAATGGTGCTGAGATATTACATTGTACGAAACGAATGTTACATTCATTTAGGTGATTAAGTCAATGCAATTCGGTGCGAGGGAGAGACGAATCAGAAAACGATCATATTAGTAGAGAGTCATATCATGCACATTATGTTCATATCATCTAGGAAAATATTAATTAACTGATTGATGATTATATAGCAAATGACTTTTCATTTTGCTTGGCGAGCAATATTTATGAATTAACAAAAGCTTCAATTGCAAACTCCTTCGGATTGGGTCACCTGTACTTACTTGTACTCTAATCTAACAACTAACAGAGTCTTACCAAAGACATTATTATGATAATAAGAAGGTGCACAACGCCATATGCACGAAATTTATCTAAGTAAAAATGTGTGAGAATTGAAGTCAGATCATGTGCAACAAATGGCGTTACTCATCTTGTCATTTTATGATCTTTGGTCTTACAGTGATCTATTCGAATGGGAGACCTTAATCGTTGCAATAATCGACGCAATCTAAGTGTAAGCCATTATTTAGCTTCTGAGAAGCTTTTACCTAAGCTTAGCCGCTGATCTCGATTGTTTTGCTACAGTTTAAAAAGAGAGTCGTAACACGAAAAATTGTTTAATCCCAAGTCCCTTCCTTAATCACATACATATGTAATTGCTTGCCCATCGGGCAGCCTGACTGTAAGCTTTTAATGCTTAAAAATCAGATAGGAATCAAACGCAATCACTGCAGAAACAAACGACAAAACAAATAAATGAACAATTTAAATTTAAATTTATTAATATTCAGATTGTACGAACGAAATGAAATGTTTTTCAGACCTCGCCTTAATTTTTGAAAGTGTTTTGAGAAATACCCTAATTATAACGACGACACAAATTGAAAACAAATACAAAACGCACTGATAAAGCATAGGCCAGGCTAAACACACACAATGACAAACACACACACACACACATACAATCGGACACGCGAATAAATTTAAATAAATTACATTCAACAAATTACAAACAAAATACTCAAACAAACTTCTAGCAGCTATAAACAATTGCAATAAAAATTCTTTTTAACAACAAACCAAATATATTTTTAACTACGCTTTCACCCAATATGTTTTTTGTATTCCAAGGTGTTTATTATTAATTTTTTACTTATTTTCTAAGGAAAAACTTAGTTATATAATTATAATTCCTTGTTTCCCTTCATGCTCGACATTATTTCTTGGTAAAAAAACTCATTATGCCGGCTTGTTTTGTCTTTGTCCCATCGCCTGCCCCCTTTCCTGTCGAAGGCGGAGATTTCTTTTTGTTTGCCGGTGCTGTAGCCTTGGGAGACACCTTCTTCTTGGCTGGTGGCGGGGCGGCTTTAACTGGCTTTCGCTGGGTGATGACGAAACCTTCATCGTCCAGATACGTTTCGTTGGCTGGCTCAGATTCCATTTCCTCGACATCAACGACTGCGGGCTCTTCGGCAGTTTTCTTGGGTGGCTGCTCATCGTCCTCGTCCTCGGAATCCACAATACGCCGGCGTTTGGTATTGGTGCTGGGCTTCTCCTGATCTGACTCGTTGTCCGAACCAATAACCTTGCGTCGGATCTTGTCCAGCTTCTCCTCTTCGTCGGATGAATCCCCACTTTCGCCCTCGAACAGTTGCACTGAAGTGTTTGCCGGTGATTGCTTTTTAGCCGTAACAGTGGAGGGTTCCTCTTTTTTAAGAGGAGCGGAAGTGGGCTTTTTGGAGTCTTTTGGTGGTGACTTCTTTGCTCCCGGTTGTTGCTTTTTGAAGAAATTGTCCATGGTGCTAGTAGATGCCTTGCTGGGAGTGGCCTTGACATCGTTCTGCTTACTTCCAGCTGCAGCTGCTGTAAAGAAACTATTAATGCTGCCCTTTTTGGCTGCACCAGATGATCCTGTCTTGGTTTTCGAGGCCTGGCCTTTGGGCGAGGTATTCTTTACATCCGAAGGTGACTTATCTTTGCTGGCGGAGAGTTTTTCATTTTTAATTGGTGAAGTTTTGGCAGGCTCAGATTTCACGGCAGCCTTTTTGGACGTCTCGGGCGCCACGCCATTGGTTTTGTGCACACCATTCGTAGTACGAGCAGAGGCAGAAGCTGGCTTGCCCACTCGCTGCTCCACGTTGGCCAGCTTCACCTCCAAATGTTGCATGGGCTTGAAGATCATGGCCGGCGATTTGGAGCCCCCAGCGATTTCCACACTGTACAACTGCGACTCGGCATCCTGTAGCTTGGCCAGCCAATCCGGCAGCTGGCTTTCGCGAACCACGGAGTATAGCTCGTCGTCGGCACTGGCTCCACCTCCGCCACTCTTCCGCTTTCCGTGGACAAGGAATCTCTTGTCAAATTTGGTGACCGGCTCTTGGGCACCGACGTAGGCCTCCAGTATCTCATGCACCTCTTTGTAGGACAACTTGTATTCCTCGAGCAGATCGGTTACAAGCACGCGCCGATCAAAGTCAATTAGGCAATCGTCCAGGGCCTTTTTAAGCGACATTTTCCTGTTTTTGTTTTCAATTTGTGAAATTTGTGTTCGCTAAATAGCGCGAAATCTAGAGCCTGTTGAAATATCGATATCACTAAGCTATCGGAAGCTATCGGTAGTTCAGTTTAAGCTGCTATCGATTCCACTGCTCTATCGACATTACGTTTTACAAAAAAAAAACACTTAATTTTAAGCTGTTTGCAGCAAAATCATGCTTTGATTTATTAAGTTTTATTAAAGTTAATTAAGTTTGTTTGTAAGATTTTTTATTTTTAGTTTTAATAATTGTAAAAGTAGGAAAAGTAGTACTGCCTTACAGAAGGCTAATATACACTGCTTTCATTTTTTGAACTGCTTTATGCTCCACCATTTTCCAATGTTACTAGCCCCATCGGTAGGTGGCGCTATTTTGAACAGAATCTACTTCCGCTTTAGGATGTGGATTTAAAAAAATATACATTTTTAAAGAGAAAAGTATTTAAAGATTGATATTTCTAGTTTTATCTAATTATAATTTTAGCCTTGTATGGGTCTTTGAACTCCATCCTTACAATTATACGAATAAATTGCAATGTATTGAACACTAGATATAAGCAAGGAAGGGATGAATACTTTACTTTTTAGAAAAATTGTATTTCTTTTTTAAAGTAAAAATAAGGTGTAAAAAAGGCTTTTTTAATTTATTGTTTACATGATTTACATAATAAATATATTTTTGCGAACTAACCAACTCAATTTTCTTTATAAACAGTTTAATTTATATAATTTATATGCAGTTTATATTTTGTACCTTAAATATGTACCCACACCTTTTATTAGTATGTACTTAAAAGGAAAAACTAAGGCAAACTCTAAAAACAAGGATAACGTGTGCAGAGTAATTAGGTGACATTGATCTTCAATTAACCCTTTATGTTATTTAAATTGTATTATTTTTTTAAAAGTACAAATAAGGTTTAGAAAATTCTTTTGTAAATTATTCTTTAACATGACCTTTCATATATATGTACCTAATATATTTGTGTGAAGTACACATCTCAATCTTTTTTATAAACACTTTAAATTGAGTTTATATTTTTGAGTACCTACTTTTTTGTAACAAAAAGGAAAACTAAGGCAAACTCTAAAAAAAAGGATAACGTGTGCAGAGTAATTAGGTGACATTAATCTTCAATTAACCCTTTATGTTATTTAATACCTATCTTGGTGGGTCTCACTTCCTTTGTCGTTTTGCTTTGGGCCTTCTCCCGTTTGCCGTTCTTGTGTTGCTCTGGCAATATTTTTCAAGTTTCTTTTAACACACTTTCCTTCGCTTAAGCTACGACAAATATTTTGATAGATGAGCTTAAGCACTCAGAGACGCCGTCGTTGATATTTGAAACTGGAAACGGCTCCGCTTTGAGTTTGCTTACAAGTGGCCGCTTCACCATTTTCCACCTCATCCCCTTTAGCCGCCCGCCCGTTCCCGCAGATTTTTCACATTTTCCTCGATGTTACCCGCCGCCCGCACTCCCCCTGGACGGGCGCCAGATCTTCTTTTGGGTGTTGTGTTTGCTCTTTGTGAGGCAGATGAAGTTTCGAGTGCAAGTTTTTAAGCGAGTTTTGGGCGAGAGTTTTGCCTTAAAGATTTAAGAGGAATCGTAAGGTGTTCTCGGAAAGTTCTTTACTCGGGGAAATCCCGTGTTTGAGTGTGCGATTTCACGTAAGTGAAGTTTTCCTTTCTTTTTCATAAGGTGCGGAAAGGAAACTTGTAATACAAGTCTTGTATGACCAAAAAATAAATATAAAGTATGAAAAAAAATTCTACAAAAAATCCACATAATTTATAAGATTAAAATGTTGTAATTAGGTTACTTAAATACTTTCTAAATCTAAAAAAATATTCCGTTAAATTTTTATACACTTCCGTTTTTTTCCTACATTTAAAAATTAAACTTTTCCCAATTTATTGGCCTTTCACTTTCTTTTATGTTTCTGTTCAGTTCTCATAAACTCGGGCAGCCTTAGAAGAAGCTAAACAAAACTACACCCATGACAAAGAAGTCTGGAAAGAGGACGATGTTTCAGTGGAAAACGAGATAAGTTTCCAAGCCGGAAAATTACACAACTTACCCGAGGAACTGGCCGAAGGGGGCGGCGCCGGGCACACAGGGATCAAGCAGCAAAACTGGGCCTACGAATATTTACGATTAGACGCAGGACTCGCATACTGACAACATTGCGGAGGACTCGTGCATATGCATGTATGTGTGCATGCATAATATGCAGGCTCGTATGTATTATGCGCACAAGTGTGTTAGTGTGTGTGAGTGTGTGTGTATGGGCGGAAGTGGAAGTGAAAATGGCACACGCAGTGTCCTCCAACTAAGTCTCCCTTTTTAGCCACTTGGATCGCTGCCAGCTTGTATCCCAGTGCTAGTGTGTGTCCTGTGTGACGGGCAGAGGACAGTCCTGAGTCCTGCTGACACTTGAGTGGAGACAGACAACCACTTGACTGCTGACTTGCCACGAACAACAAAGAATACAACAGCAAAGGGATGAGGCGAGGCAGGCGAAAGGACACCATGGATGCAGGCGTGGCAAGGATACTGGTGTGGAATTACCAAGAAGGGAGGGTAATATACGATATATGTTTACAGCTGAGGTCAAATTATTATTAGTTAGATGTTGGTTAAAATAAATTAATTAGGAATTTAAAAGGATATTCTTGATAGTTTTCATTTAGAAAGGTTAAATGAAAATGATTGATTACGTGAATTTATACCAAGAAATATCTGTAACTTGCTAATTTGTGTTATGGTTCTTGCCAAAGTTAAGTTTCTTTCCAGCTTTTCCTCAATTGTGCTCCGACTTGGCCATCATTGTTATGCGGACATTAATGTGCGTAACTTGGACAATTATGACAATGAAAGGGGCGCAGAAAGGATGTTAAGGAGTTGGGCGTGGGGATGAGAAGATAGTTTTAGGGGCTAAAGGATTTACTGCACAAACATTTGTTATATGCCAGAGAAAGAGAGAACTGCACAGCCAACGAAGAAGAACAAGGCTACCAAATAAAATCCAATGGTAAATATGATTGAAAGCCCAATGAATGGAACACTGAATTGAAAGCTCAGTTCACATCTTCTTCTCTTTTTTCCGACCGCCATGCGACTCTTCATGCCAGTAATTACATGGGGATTTAAGTGCTCCGGGATTGTAGTTGTTGGTATTTCCGTTTTCGTGGCAACAAAGGTTTTTCCTACGAAACCGGGGGAGGAAAGGAAAATGGCGAAAATAAAGTAAACTAGACTCGGATCAAAGTGATTCGAGGCGATGAAGTGAAAGTACATATCGGGCTTAATTGAAAGCTTGAGCCCGAGCTGAGCTCAGCTCAGGTTCTTGGAGCAGGTTGCTTGTTCTGCTTGTAGTGTAGTTTTATGGGTTTTAGGTTCTGTAAGTGGTTTTCGCACATGTTATGGCTGCAAAAAAAAAAAAAACAAGTACACTTTGTTAATTTTATTCTTAAGTTTTTATACCCTTTCAGGGTTTTATAATTTTAGTGTAAAGTTTGCACGCAGCTAAGGTTATGAGAAGTAAAAGAACTTAAGTGTCGGAGTGGCTAAGAACATGTTGAGCAACGTTGCTAAGTTTCAGAATGTAAGCTATGCACGACTTATTCGGTATTTTTGCTGACAAATAATAAATATAATATATCTAAAATTAACACAAAAAATGTAAATATAAATATAAAAAAGTTTACAAATAATATAAAAAAATTAATTATTATTGGGTGATCATTTGTTGGCGTTTCTATTTACAAATTATTTCCACCCACTAGGACTTCCAGTCCACAACTGTGGATCTTATTTCGTGATCAAAATTCCGTGAGAGCGCTTTCGTTTTTTACTAATTTGCAGTCTACACATGTGGATCGTATTAAGGATCTACAGCCAGAGAGCGCTTTCACTTTATTTACATTTAGTTTTCAAGTAAAAATATCCGAGACTCAAACCCTAAGAGCGAACCTCAACGAACTTTAAGGATGTGGGGAGGAGAAAAGTCAAGACAATGACAATAATACAACACCACAATAAAATAACGAGAAAAATAAAAGAGATCGTCACTCACCCTGTTTTTTGTTGCTAAAAGTTGAAACTGCGAAACCGCTTTTCCTCCGCCTAACTGAATTTGCATAACTTTTCACATAATTATTCACAAAAAAAAATACACAAAAAATAATCACAAATAAATGCACAACAAAACAAACACCAAAAACAGATAAATATATGCATATGTTGAACCACAAAAAAAGAAAATAAAAAAATAACTTTTCCCTCGCTTCACACTCACTCTTTAGATCGCTTCGCTTTTCTTTTTTTCTTTTCAGAGACGGAAAATAGAGGGGTTTGAATCACTGGCACCTTCGGAAATTTTCCGTTTCACTTGCACAACAAAAAAAAGCAAAAAAATAACGGCTTTACACTTCCCGCGTGTAAATTTTCCCGGCTTGTAATTTTCCCGATTTTCAGTGGTTCCGATGTTTTTTTCACGGCGAATTTCGTTTACGATCTCGATATTCCAGCTTGTTCCTCGTTTTGCCGCACTTTTTTGTTTCTTCATTCGCCCGTTATTCGTCCTCTCCCGCGCATCACTCGACCGAAAATTGCAAATTGGAGTCTCTCTCCTCTCTTCACTACCTTTTTAGCACACAGCTGCAACCGTAATGGCGATCGTTGGCGTTGTGCATGTTTTTTAAGGATATTACTATACATTTTTAAGCACTAATTAATCACTTGTGCTACACTCAAAGTCCGCGGACCTGCTAATTTTGTTGAATTCTTATTGCACTTCACTTATGTATGTATGTATGCACGAATGGTGTTCTCCATTTATGCAGCTGCGACCTCGCCATCTCCTGCGATCCTTATTGCACAATAAGATATGTTCGAAACGCAGCGGTTGTGTTATCCAATTGGAAAATCGGGTTGTTCTTGTTGTTTTATTATTATTAATGGCCATCACAACCCTATCGGGTCACAGCCTGTTGCACAATCTGCCTCCACGCTTCCCTGTCCTGGGCCCGCGCTCGCCAGTTG